CCCCAAAACCCCAAAACCCCAAAACCCCTGGATGGGGGATTTTGGTGAAGATGGGGTAATAAGAATGGGGATTTAGGAGACTATGGGGTTGGAGAGGGATTAGATGGTGAGGGAGGGTTTGAATGCTGAGTATGAGTTTTGAAGGAGAAGTCTTTATGCTAGAGGGGATGGATAAGGTATGCAGTTTTGATTATAAAGTGATATTTTCACCAAATTGAGAGTAATCATATAGATGGGATGTTAAATAAAGGAATTAGGTCTTCCTTGAGCTTATAATTTATAAGTCGCAAAAGATATGCCATCAGTTGCCTTCTGCCATAATTTAGAATGGTGGTATAGAAATTGAGGAAAAACTGTTTTCGTGAACTAATTTACCCAAGTTATTTCTATTGTTTTCGGTCAGTTTTGAAACAAAACCCTGCTATGATTTGCAAGATGGCCTAGATATTAGAAAATAAAGCACTAACAGACTCTAGACTGGCGTATTAAATCTCTGAGTAATAGAGAAAGTTATAAAAGATGCTTCTAAGGCTGACATATTGAATTAATTATATTTTTAAAATTTGAGATTATTTTATGTATAAACTTAGAAATTCAGCATTTTAGTGATGTGAATTTGTAATAATTCAAGAGACTTGATGATTGGAGTACTTTTTGAGCAAATATAATTGCAATAATCTCCATAATGTACAACTATTTTTCCTACCACTGCTCAGGTGTTTTATCGGTTCTCTCTTCACTCTCCTGGTTCATATTTAGGCCACTCTTAGCAACCAAATTAGTTCTACCAAATTGTGGTTTACAACAGCAAAGAACTATACTGCCATTTTAATATTCTATCATGAATTTTGAAAGTTTATAGGATTCCTAGTCCTCTAGTTTGGAAAATTCAGTTGTGGTTAACTTTGTTACTGCTTCTGTAGCTTTTATAACCCTAAATAGACTGATTCCTCAATTACGACGAGAGAAGTCAACTTACAAATTTGCGGTTTATGAATTTTTAAAAATATTATTAATTAATTTGGGACCAAAAGTTATCTTTCATTACCAATCTCGGAATATTTTGGAAATTTTGGAACTGCCTGATAAGCACATATACAACATATGAACCTCAAAAGAGACATATAAGTTTTGCAAGAATTTTTATGGACAAGTTATTTAATTGTACGGAGGAGAAGACTACTTCTTTATGTTTGAAAGTAGTGTTTGAGATCCTCCATTAATGCTGTTCAGGATTCTATGCGATGATAACTTTTGATCAACTCTTCACTTATATTTCCAAGAAGAAAATCTCTCACCATTACTTTTGTTTCGGATATGAGAATAGTTCCAAGATGAACAGTTCTTGAGCTTCTTGAACTCATTCAAACGTTGTTCTCTGTTCTTGTGCTTGATCTTCTCTACCAATGACCCAAGCCTTGGTGTCGGGTGTAAAATTGCAATTTCTCCATCATCTTTGATCTTTGGGATCATCATTGAGTCTTCAGAGTTATCTTTATCACACATATTTGTTGTAGGTCTAGCATGGCCTTTGTCAGCTACAAGAACATTGTCATTGTTCTGCCATTTGTAGACACTGTTCTTAGGCAGAGGCTCATTGTAGTCATCGGAGACAACACATTGAGAGTCATCCCAGAATCAATCGTTTGAAGCTTTCATATTTGTAAATTATTAATGATTCCAATCGTGATTATTTAAGTAGGGGTTTTGGGGTTTTGGGGTTTTGGGG